AAGTTGGATAAAAAACACAGACTGACAATAACTCGTTTTTATTGACTTGCTAGGTAAAGCTTAATGACAAGCATAATAAGCAGAAAATTTAACTTAAGCATAACAACTAACAAATAGTTAAAATGAATCCCACTAACATTATAGACTAGTGAACATCCCGCGGTTACCCTCGGTAGTTATACCTACCTATTTCCGCTTTTAACCAATAGATGTTGTCAAGTGTCACGGTCGTATCGATAAACACAATAGTAATTGTAGTAATTGAACCAGCGAATTTAGCAAGCGTATGCTCGCTCAGAGCGCGTACTCGGCGATTAGTCTAGAAATTATAGATAATGGCAGAAAAATGAAAACGGATTTGGCCCTTGGTACTTACTGGCGTAAACAGTATGGCCCTAAGCCTGGAAAGTTTGGAGACCCCTGGTCTAGAGCTCTTGCATTTGGTGCTAGATTTGGCTTCAGATTCAAATTCTGGCGGAGTCATGGATGTTTGTTAGTGGTTCAGAATGTACCTTAAATTGTAGGTCTCGGTCTAATTAGTCTAAAGTGCTAAAAAAAATTACCATAGAGCGACAAGCCAAACCATTGGTGAGCATTACGGTGAACTTAACAACTATTTTCTATTGGAAACATACATGTATTTATCTATTATGTGTGTGAAAGTGTTTTTTTCTTTCTTTTAAAACTTTATCTTTTTATGTTGACAAACGCTCGTTTTTTAGAAACGTGCATTTAAAAAAAAAATGTGTTTCCGCTTTAGCAAAGAAAATGAAATTTATTTTTATATTTTTAGAAAAGGAAACGTACGTCATATTTAATATATAAAGTTATTAAATTTATGATGAATGTTAGCACACAGGATAGTGACAGCTTAAAAAATTTCATAAGTTAAAAAAATATTGTAAGACTCAGCTTAATATTCTTCATATTAACAGGAGCAACAATATAGATCACAATATATAGAAAACTTTATGAATGGCAATTTGTGTTTTTACGGAAATTTATTAGTTTGAGGAGATGAAAATAGACTGTGCTCGCTTTTTTAAAAATTGCTAATTTATTCTTCTTTTTTCCCTGTAGAAAAAAATACGTCATGAACTTGTTCTTATTATTTTATGTTCTTTCTCTTCCTTGCAAATAAATCATTCCGAAGCTAAGCCTAATTGTGTTTTCTATTTAGATAAATTTTTCTAAAGCTATTCCAAATAAATATTTATATTGTCGTAAAATGTGATAATTTTTTTCCAACCACTATGTTCATGAATATGGGGGCCGGAACGGCCGAGTGGCTAACGCTCTGGCGCTCACAGGTTTCGGGTTCGAGTCCCGGCGGTGCCATGGATGTGTGTAGTGGTTCGGAATCCACTTTAAATTGTAGGTCCCGGTCCTAATAGGATCGTAGAGCGTTGCGGGGGCATTGTTACTCCGCGTCCGCGGCTTATCTTCAAGTTACGCGCGCCCCCTGGGTAATGCAAAGTGAGTAACATCTATGCAGCGCTTGCCTTAAGGCATCCAAGACCAAGCTGTCTAAGTGTTTGCCAGCTGCATTAGAACAAAAAGAAATGTTCATGAATATTCCTCCTGAAATAATTGTATTTAATAGCATAAAAATGTTTCACAATTTTTAATTCGAATTTTTTTTGTAAAACATTGATTTGTGAGACATTGATGATTGGTGGGACGTATGACTGTGGTCAATTTAAATCGTAATAAAGACCTTAATACACATAGAATAGACTTCAATAAAATTGGTTAATACTGTATGATGTCTCCTTGCAAATTAGTCTTTGGATTGGTCTCGTAAAGGTGATTTTCAACCGGATATTAAACTCCCATGTCCATGTCGTCCCATGTCGGCCTATTCCTCAAGCGAATAGAAAGTTTTAGTGGATAGAACATCAAGCATAGGAGCATTCTACTATTTGGTGGAAACACACTTTAAATTGAATAGAAATCTATATTTTGTTCCCTTTTTCCTAACTTTCTTTTTACCTTTTCAAAAATTGATTACAATTTACTAACAATTTACTAAAAATTGTAACAATTTGGTAACAATTTTTTACCAAAAATTGACATACAATTTTCATTTTTTACTTAATTCCTGTAACTCCATGCAAAAAATCGAATAAAAGAAAAGCTTAAAAATCAATGCAATATTAGTTGTATTCTTAACCGTAAGTTATCAATAAGACCAGAAGGAAATCTATGCATCCATAACTAAAATAGAAGTTGATATTCTATATTAACGACTTGATACTTTAGAAAATAAAAATTTTGTTATTGAAAATAAATATTACATAATAGCAAGAAAGTCCAGCTAGCAAGTTTTATTGAAGGTTTTTTTTTTAAAAAAATGCAGATAGACCCAGGGCATGTCCAGTGATTAATACCTTGTATTGTAACCGTGATTCCACCTGCGCACCCACGTTTCTTCGTAACCGTGGTTCCTCCTACGCACTGCAAGAGCGCCCCTTACGGCGTACAGAAGAGAATCGACAGTAGGCTATTAGACTCTCATGCGGGAGGACGCATGGCGCAACTGGCGCTGAATGACAATCTCTCATCCCGAGAGTTAACAGTGGAATCCTTCCACTAAATATCCTTAATTGAATATTTTTTAAATATACATGCTGTGTGTTGAATATTTTTTTATTGTAATTGTGCGCTTCAAAACAAATATGTTCTTTAACGTGAGTCTCCATTTGGCCACACCCCAATCTAGCTGCACAAGCAAACGACGAAACATCTGTTACAGTATTTCTTAACTGAAGGCACTTGATAAGGTAACCAACAGTGTACCAAACTAATGCCTGCGTGTTCATGACCATGAATTAACATGGAATTTGTTATTTAGTGGAAGGACATGTTAAATCCATAGGCAAGGAAAGGCTTCCATTAGATTTAAAGATTAAGATGGAACAGACCCTCCAATTGATTCCATTGAGTGTGTTTATTCGAAATTTCGCTGAAATAAGATATGTGTAGTGTGCACTTTCCAATCTTCCGTGCTTCCTTGCCAGTAACATTACATCTGCTACACATACTTTAATATATAGTAGTAAATGACCTTACTTAAAATAGCCAGAAGCTGAAGAACAATTTTAAAAATGATGTATATTTTTTACGAATACTTTACAAGGACTCTAGAATTACGTATAATTTTAAGCTAAGTTATTACTAGTAAATAATTAATGAATATGCATTTGAACACAAAGGAATCTAGCAATTGTGATACACACACACACACACGTATATATATATAATTTTTCCGAGATTCCTTTTACAATTGCTCGATTTATATATACTATGTGTGGTTTATATACAGTGACACGGTTATAATATATAAGAATATACGACATATTTAAGAATACAACTATAAAAATTTTCAAATTAAAGTGATGTTCGTTTAAGTGAAATATCTAAAGTAAATAATATCTTTCAAAATATAATTCTATATGCTCTTTAGAAACTTTAATATCTTAGCTGGTAGCATTAAATTTTTAAATTAGAAATCGTTATTTGTTTTAACATAATATTTGTCTATTAAATAAAGGTAACATCAATTTAAACTATGAATAATAATCTTAAATTCATGAATTATAATTTTTTATTGATTAACACATTTCTTGAAATTTAATTTGATTTTTAATCTTTTAATTAAAATTATTATTAGTGTTGCTTTAACTATATAATAGAATTCTATTAGTTATCCATATACTTCTTTTGAAAGAAAATTAATTTCTTCAAATGCTCTTCTTTTTACGAAAGAAAATAAAATGCAAATCATATTGTTTACAACTCAGTAATTACTTTCCATTAATTATTTTCAACTGTTATTTTAAATAGTTCATTATTTATACTATAAATATAAAACTATTTATAATTATTGAATGTATTTATCGGTTAGTTATTTTCAAAAATAGAATTTAATGTAACTTTTACTACAGACATTTCTCCTACTTTGTCGATATAAAATTAAAGTATTTGAATGATTAAATTTCAGAAATATATCAGATAATAAGTATTTTACTTTTATCAAGAGTTAATATGTATTTAATATGTATTTTTATTTTGATAAGAGTTAAGTGTCAAAGAGGTTTTCATTACTATCGTTTTCCCTAAAAAAATTATATAGTTTATTCAACAGCATTTTTTTGTAAAACTAAATTTTTATTTTGAAAATGTCTGTGAGATTTTTAGTTTCATTGATTTCTTTGCCTGTATACTAGACCAAATTTAAAACAAATTTTAATTGATATATTATCTATTACATCTAACTATAATAAAACGTTTGTTACAATATATATTTGAAATAATCATTAGTTATTATTTAAAGAAGTTATTGCTTTAAATTCGAATGTATTTTTAAATTTTTCATTTATTATAAAATATTAACACACGACAATATTATGTACAAATAATTGTATATAAATATAATATATTATTTAATAATTATTATAAAATGTACATTTTAAGGTTGTAAATTATTTAAAGATGCCAAACAATACCAACCTGTTCCCAACGGTCTTGTTTCAGATTCATTACATGAATTTCTACATCTTTCAATGTACCATCTAAGTTGAAGGCTATTGGCCTGCTAGGTGGTTTGGCACTTATCGACACACCTCTCATATGTCTGAAATAGTCAAAAATAATTCTTTTAAATATTATATATTTAAAATAAATACTACAAAATAATTATGTTGTTGTTTGTTGTTGTTTCTTATCCCACTTGGCTGGCCAAGCCCACGAGCCCATACGTACTCATGATTGAAGGGGAAGGAAGCAGCTTCTGTTGTTATGGAGCACCCGTAGGTAGAAGTCTGACTTTGGCTCCGTGACGCTCTTACAGTCATATGAGACCGGGACCTACGGCTTAAAGTGGATTCCGAACCACTACAAACATCCATGGCACCGCCGGGATTCGAGCCCGAAACCTGTGGCACCGAGCGCCAGAGCGCTAGACACTCGGCCATTCAGGTCCCAAATTTGTGAATGCCAACGGCACGCGGTGTTCCCAGGTGGTCACCCGCTCAAATACTGACCTCACCCAATGATGCTTGACTTCGGTGATCTAACGAGAACCGGTATATTCAGCATGGTATGGCCGTTGGCCAAAATAATTATAAGTAATTATTATAATATAAACTGAATTTTCAATTTTTCATATAATATAATAATTGTAATTATAATTAAATAACAATAATAAATATTTTTTTAAATATACATAATTTTAACAAAAATATAAATAAGTATAAATAAATTTAACAATAAATATTATATAATAAATATAATTAATTTTCATCATCATCATTGGCGCTGCAGCCAATGACGAGAGATGTTTTATTTTTAAGGGGTAGGGTTTTCAGCTCTACGCCCAACGCTCAACAGTCATAGCAGACCAAGCCTTACGGCCTAAAGTGGATTCCGAACCACTACAAACATCCATGGCACCGCCGGAAACTCGAAACCTGTGGCACCGAGCGCCAGAGCTTTAACAATAAATATTAAATATTCAACAATACATATTAAAATTATTTCACATATTTTGCTTATAATGTTATTTTTAAACACGAATGTTGATAATGAAACTTAATTATTTGAAATTTTTTTATTAAAAATTAAAATAATCTTTTGTCTCCTTATTTCTCTTAACATTGTCTTTAGAATTTTTTTATGAATTTTTAATATTCTTCACTTTTAAAAAATAAATTATATATTCCTTTACTTTAATAAATTACTAGAGAATGGTAGTGATTATGAAATTCTTTACAAAGATTAATAATTAGTATTGCTCACTAGTTGTACAAAAAGTTGAAAAACAAAAATTTGACTGCTTTTAAAGGAAATTCAATTTAGTCTCATTTATAAAATGAAATGATTATTATTAATTCTGATGAAACTAATTTAAGTCACTTTGAGCTTATTTAAATTTCTAATATAAATTCTGATGAAACTAATTTAATAATAAATTCTAAATTCTGATGAAACTAACTTAAGTTATTTTAGCTTATTTAAGCTTCTATTAAATAGAATTTGTTTAATCACGATTAAAATATTTCCTGCTATATACATAATTAAAAAAATATTTATTTTTTTAAAAGATGTTTAAAATTTTTGGAATATTATAATTGATATTAAAGTGAGGTTTTCGCCATTCTATGTATGAATTTTATTCTAGAAAAAAAGTTATAAAAATATACTCAAAATTATATAAAAAAAAATATTTTTGAGAAAAATATGAAAATTTATGGTTCTGTAAAAGAATCCCTATTTTTAAAATTTAAATTTTGATTTAAAAGTATTGGTTAACTCGAAAAGGTTTTGAAGCTTTATTTAACATGACACGAAATATTTTTAATCTAATTATGTGTTTTATTTTTAAGAAATTATTAGAACTATAGCTATTGTACTTTTTTCTCAAAATATTGTAATTTTATATCCAAATATTTTATAAAGATTTTTTTAATAAAATTGTTGTATATGTACCTTGCTAAACAACTTATTTTTAACCAATTGAAATTCAAAAGTTTAAAAACTAATTAGTATAAACTAATTTAAAATTACTGGCAACTAACAACTGGCGATTACAGAGTTACAGAGTATTAATAGGAATAGACCGCTTAACCTCTTCATACTACAAATCATATATAAAGTTCCAATTAATTATATTTTGCTTAAAATGTTAGTAATTGATAAAAAGTAATGTTTCTAAAAATTTAAAAATGGTACTCTGAAAAGTTAAAAAACTTAAAATAAATTAAAGTAAGATAACAATAGAAAGGTTTAAAAATTAGGAATAAAAAGAATTTAAGTTAAATATTCGGTACAATTAGGGACCAGTTGTAGATACCATAAAAATTTGTTTGTAATAAAAAGTTAAGTTTGCTGAACGTGTATGACTTAACGATGAACCTGTAAGTAAATAATTAATATCCCCCCAAAAAAGGCCCATTCTCAGTATCAAAGTTCTGAGATGGGCCTTATATTTTTTTAAATTTAAAATTAGCATTAACAATTCCAGTTAGAATACAGTAATTTAAAATTAGTATTAACAATTCCAATTAGAATACAATAATTTAAAATTAGCATAAACAACTCCTATTTGTATACAATAATTTACAATTAGCATTTTAAAATATTGCAAGAGGATTGGTTTATATACAACTGTATCTTTCGTAAGTTCTTATTTACAACTTTATTTTTTCGTATAACGTATAGCAAAAAAGTAATTAAAAAGAGAAAAAATTCCACATGTCTTGTGTATTTTATCAGTCTGGTTATGCTACAAAAAAATTTTCTTTTGAGATGCAAACAGAATTTCTTTGAAAATTTTGAATAATGAAATGATTATTACTTATCTTGATGAAACTAATTTAAGTCATTTTAGCTTATTTAAATTTCTATTAAATATAATTTTTTTTAACTTTTTAAATCATGATTAAAATAATTCCTGCATTTCATATAAATAAAAAAAAATTAGTTACTTAATATTCCTATTTGAATACAATAATTTGAAATTAGCATTTTAATATATTCTAAGAGGATTTGTTTATATATTATACAACTGTATATTTCGTAAGTTCTTATATACAACTGTATTTTTTCGTATAACATACAGCAAAAAAAGTAATCAAAAAGAGAAAAAAATTCCCCGTGAATTGTGTATTTTATCAGTCTGGTTATGTTACAAAAAATTTTCGTTTGAGATATAAAGAAAAAAAATTCCTTCAAAATATTTTCTTAAAAAAAGATATTAGATATCATATAAAGATATATAACGCTAAGAAGATATATATCTCCCATCACTCACCTGAATATGACATCCCCTCTGTTCCATCGAGATTGACCATTCCCATTGCAACTCAGAGTCGGTGACAAACTTATATTAGAGTTCTTAGAATCCGCGTAGAAAGACTCCAGTCCATGAGCGAATATATTTACAGCTCTTTCAACTTCTACATTCAGCCTGTCAGTGGTGACGTTGATATATATCCCTTCAAATGGAAAGAAAAAAAGTTATTTACAACTTGAATTAAAAAAAAGTCTGTTTCCGTGAGAAATTCTGACTGTAGTATTAAAGAAGCGTGAAAGTTTATCGATTTTATTGCACAATTTCTTTTATATAGTTGTAAGGCACGTAGTATGTCTTTAATACATTTGAAAATTTCTTTGCTGAAATTTTGGTTTATACTGTTTTTTAATTTATATTTAAATCATCAAGGTTTTTCTTTTATTTATAGATCTTTCAAGTTGCTAGGAGGCAAATAAGCATGGATGCTGAGATTTGAATAAGCAATAACACAAAATTAGTAATTTTTCCATATGATTCATGTTAAAAGAATAAAAAAATATCCAAGTTTAAATCTTATTTTAAGCCGGTTTTGGCATAAATTCATTTTTATGACTAACAAAGTTAATTTACCCTTAATGTCATCCAAGCTGTTTTCTCATGCAATCCCCTGTTTGTTTTCATTTCACAGATATTGCTAATCCGTAATAGTATAAATGTAAACAATGTGACATTAAGGGAAAATTACCTTTGTTAGCATAAATTCATTTTTATTCCTAACAAAGACAATTTACCCTTAATGTCATCCAAGATGTGTTTTCATACAATCACCTGTTTGTTTTCATTTCACTGATATTGCTATTCTGTAATAGTATAAATGTAAACAATGTGACATTAAGGGAAAATTACCTTTGTTAGCATAAATTCATTTTTATGCCTAACAAAGTTAATTTACCCTTAACGTCATCGAAGCTGTGTTTTCATACAATCACCTGTTTGTTTTCATTTCACAGATATTGCTCATCTGTAATAGTCTAAATGTAACAATATGACATTAAGGGAAAATTACCTTTGTTAGCATAAATTCCTTTTTATGCCTAACAAAGATAATTTACCCTTAATGTCATCCAAGTTGTGTTTTCATACAATCTCCTGTTTGTTTTCATTTCACTGATATTGCTAATTTGTAATAGTATCAATGTAAACAATGTGACATTAAGGGAAAATTACCTTTGTTAGCATGAATTCCTTTTTATGCCTAACAAAGATAATTTTTCCTTAACGTCATCCAAGATGTGTTTCCATACCAGCACCTGTTTGTTTTCATTTCACTGATATTGCTATTCTGTAATAGTATCAATGTAAAAAATTTTCTTAATATAAGATCATGAAGCTATTCAAGGGACGTGAAATCATGAGAAATTTACTTATTTTCATTCCAGACTTGGAGAGATCTAAAGAAAGATGTGGTTTCAAAAATACGAGCCAAATAGTGACGACTTGCATAAAAATAATTTTAATTCTTCATTCTATTTTTTGACTCTATTCATGGCAAGTGGTGAATCATGAGAAATTTATATACATTCATTCTTGACTTTGAGAGTTGTAAAGAAAAGTGTGGTTTCAAATTTAATTATTGCATGGATAATGCTGAACCAAATAGCGAAGACCTGCACAAAAATAATTTTGATTCCTCATTCTATTTTTTACTGTATTCCTGTCCAGTGGTGAATCATGAAAAATTTACTTATTTTCATTCCTGACTTAGGGAGATGTAAAGAAAGGTATAGTTTAAAAAATATATAGTTTCAAAGGTATAATTCGTGCATAGATAATACGAGTCGAATAGTTACTACTTATACAAAAATAATTTGTATTCCTCATTCAATTTTTTGACTCGCCAACGGCCATACCATGCTGAATATACCGGTTCTCGTTAGATCACCGAAGTCAAGCATCATTGGGCGCGGTCAGTACTTAGGTGGGTGACCACCTGGGAACACCGCGTGCCGTTGGCATTCACAAATTAGGGACCTGAATGGCTGAGTGTCTAGAGCTCTGGCGCTCGTTGCCACAGGTTTCGGGTTCGAATCCCGGCGGTGCCATGGATGTTTGTAGTGGTTCGGAATCCACTTTAAGCCGTAGGTCTCGGTCTCCTATGATTATAAGAGCGTCACGGAGCCAAAGTCTGACTTCTAACTACGGGTGCTCCATCACAACAGAAGCTGCTTCCTTCCCCTTCAATCATGAGTACTTATGGGCTCGTGGGCTTGTCCAGACAAGTGGGATAAGAAACAACAACAACTTTTTTTGACTCTAT